TGCGAAACAAAAAAGCACCGTCAGAAAAAAGTGGCGGAAGAAGAAAAAAATAATAATAATTAAAAACCAATTGTTCAAAGAACAATTGAAGGTCTTTCCACATCAATTTTCTAAATAATTGATGAGAAGCTAATTCTGGTTTACTCAAAGCTACTATTGGCGTCCAATCATAGGTTTCTTCATACTGATTCAATAAACATATGGTTTCTTTAGACTTTTGCCTGAAATAAGGGAGATAATTGTCAACTTCCGGTTTAGAAAATGTCACTTCTGGTCTCATATGATAGCTTTATTTACACTGATTCCAAAAATATATGGTTTATATATACTTTTGCCTGTAAAAAGGGAGATAATTGGCTACTTCCGGTTTAAAAAATGTCACTTCCGGACTCAAATGGTAGATTTATTTACTCTGATTCCAAAAATATATGGTTTATATATACTTTTGCCTGTAAAAAGGGAGATAATTGGCTACTTCCGGTTAAGAAAATGTCACTTTCGGTCTCATATGATAGCTCTTTTTACACTGATTCCAAAAATATATGGTTTATATATACTTTTGCCTGTAAAAAGGAAGATAATATGCTATTTCCGGTTTATAAAATATCACTTCCGGACTCAAATGATAGATTAATGTATGACCATTCAAAAAATATTTGGTTTCTATGTACTTCTACATGAAATAAGTGCAAAAATGACTACTTCCGGTTCACTCAAGGTCACTTCCGGTTGACATTTTACAAGGTCATATGTCACCCAATATTTTGCAAAAGATCTTATGGCTTTATCATGTACCAATATGAAGTAATAATCAATTTACCTTAAAATAAAACATTTCAGGGGCAATAACTCCAATAAGATGTCGCTGGATTGTCTCAGACCAAATGTATCATATCTTCATCACAATATAACAAACATTTTGCACTTGTTCTTTAATATATAACATTAAAAATATCGGAGAAAATGCAAAAACAAGCAAAAGACAAAATTCAGAACATGACCTTGACCTCATTTTCAAAGTAAGGATCCAAGGACCTTAAATAAAAAGACTATAGGTTTATACGGCTTACAGGTTATGAGTAACAAAAACATAACGACAAATTTATTTCATAAAGGTAGATAACTCCTATAAAATTTCATCGAATCGCTTCGATCCAAATTAGCCAAAAATTTCTGAGGATGTAACGAACAATTTAGAAAAAGAATTTTGTCGATATCTTTTTTTGTTACGAAGGAGATGCACACACTTGATAAACAGTGAATAGGGAGATAACTCTTACAAAGATAATTGTCCGGCTTAGCAGGGTGAAATTTAAAAGCGCATAAACTATAAAATACAATATGAGAAATATCTAAGCAGCATATTGCGAAACTTTATCGCAAGAACAAAATTTGGCGGAAGAAAAAAAAAAAAATAATAATAATAAAAATAATAATAATTAAAAACAAATTGTTCAAAGAACAATTGAAGGTCTTTCCACATCTATTTTCACAATAATTGATGAGAAGCTATTTCTGGTTTACTCAAAGCTACTATTAGCGTCCAATCATAGGTTTCTTCATACTGATTCAATAAACATATGGTTTCTATAGACTTTTGCCTGAAATAAGGGAGATAATTGTCAACTTCCGGTTTAGAGAATGTCACTTCTGGTCTCATATGATAGCTTTATTTACACTGATTCCTAAAATATATGGTTTATATATACTTTTGCCTGTAAAAAGGGAGATAATTGGCTACTTCCAGTTTAAAAAATGTAACTTCCGGTCTCAAATGATAGATTTATTTACTCTGATTCCAAAAATATATGGTTTATATATACTTTTGCCTGTAAAAAGGGAGATAATTGGCTACTTCCGGTTTAGAAAATGTCACTTTCGGTCTCATATGATAGCTTTATTTACACTGATTCCAAAAATATATGGTTTATTTATACTTATGCCTGTAATAAGGGAGATAATATGCTATTTCCGGTTTATAAAATATCACTTCCGGTCTCAAATGATAGATTAATGTATGACCATTCAAAAAATATATGGTTTCTATGTACTTCTACATGAAATAAGTGCAAAAATGACTACTTCCGGTTTACTCAAGGTCACTTCCGGTTGACATTTTTCAAGGTCATATGTCACCCAACATTTTGCAAAAGATCTTATGGCTTTATCATGTACCAATATGAAGTAATAATCAATTTACCTTAAAATAAAACATTTCAGGGGCAGTAACTCCAATAAGATGTCGCTGGATTGTCTCAGACCAAATGTATCATATCTTCATCACAATATAACAAACATTTTGCACTTGTTCTTTAATATATAACATTAAAAATATCGGAGAAAATGCAAAAACAAGCAAAAGACAAAATTCAGAACATGACCTTGACCTTTGACCTTGAACTCATTTTCGAAGTAAGGATCCAAGGACCTCAAATAAAAAGACTATAGGTTTATACGGCTTACAGTTTATGAGTAACAAAAACATAACGACAAATTTATTTGGTAAAGGCAGATAACTCCTTTAAGATCTCACTGGATCGCTTCGATCCAAATTAGGCAAAAATTCCTGAGGATGTAACAAACAATTTAGAAAAAGAATTTTGTCAATATCTTTTTTTGTTACGAAGGATATGCACACACATGATAAACAGTGAATAGGGAGATCACTCTTGCAAAGAAAATGGTTCGGCTAAGCAGGGTGAAATTTAAAAGCGCATAAACTATACGATACAATATGAGAAATATCTAAGCGACATATTGCGAAACAAACATTTAACGCAAGAACAAAATTTGGCGGAAGAAAAAAAAAAAATAATAATAATAATAATAATCAGAACAAATACAATAGGTCTTTCCACAGAAAAGTGGAAAGACCTAATAATAATAATCAGAACAAATACAATAGGTCTTTCCACAGAAAAGTGGAAAGACCTAATAAATGGAGAGAAGATGAAAGAAAAGAGGTGGGTGTGTGCCAGTGAGACATTTTATGATATATATGGTAAATTAGAATGGTTAAAAGTGCACATTTACAATATAAATCAATTGTTTTAAAAACAATTGTTAAACGGTCTTTCCCCTCCGAAACATGATAAATTGGTTTTTTGGTTGGTTGGTTGGTTGGTTGGTTGGTCGGTCGGTCGGTCGATCGATCGATTGATTGATTGATTGATTGGTTGATTGATTGATTGCATGCATGGCACTTTTTCTGTGCGACGCAGCTAACTTAAATAACGCCTATTCTAACCGAACGTGACTGCGTACCTTGTACATCCCACACAGCCAAACGGACGCCTGAGATGTCCTCATAAAAATTGATCCTAGCATCATTCGTTTATAAATTTTCTCTAGTTTCTATGTTACCTCGGACTTCCATTTTTCATCTATTTGTTGTGTATGCATTTTGATTGAATTTGTAGGAAAACGGAGTAAATTTTATCTTGGAAGTTTTATTTTCCTTATTTGGATATGGAATGTTTTATTCTAAATTTAGGTCCGGGCGCGAGATGGTGTTGTGAAGTCACGTGACCCTCGAATATATATGTCTGGAGTTTTGGTCAAATTTTTTTTATACGGCTTACGGTTTACGTGTTACAAAAACATAACGACAAATCAATTTGGTAAAGGCAGATAACTCCTTTAAGATCTCACTGGATCGCTTCGATCCAAATTAGGCAAAAATTCCTGAGGATGTAACGAACAATTTAGAAAAAGAATTTTGTCGATATCTTTTTTTGTTACGAAGGAGATGCACACACTTGATAAACAGTGAATAGGGAGATAACTCTTACAAAGATAATTGTTCGGCTTAGCAGGGTGAAATTTAAAAGCGCATAAACTATACGATACAATATGAGAAATATCTAAGCGACATATTGCGAAACAAAAATTTCAAAAGTTGGCGGAAAAAAAAAATAATAATAATAATAATCAGAACAAATACAATAGGTCTTTCCACAGAAAAGTGGAAAGACCTAATAATCAGAACAAATACAATAGGTCTTTCCACAGAAAAGTGGAAAGACCTAATAATCAGAACAAATACAATAGGTCTTTCCACAGAAAAGTGGAAAGACCTAATAATCAGAAGAAAACCAATAGGTCTTTCCACAGAAAAGTGGAAAGACCTAATAATCAGAAGAAAACCAATAGGTCTTTCCACAGAAAAGTGGAAAGACCTAATAATCAGAACAAATACAATAGGTCTTTCCACAGAAAAGTGGAAAGACCTAATAATAATAATAATCAGAAGAAAACCAATAGGTCTTTCCACAGAAAAGTGGAAAGACCTAATAATCAGAAGAAAACCAATAGGTCTTTCCACAGAAAAGTGGAAAGACCTAATTATCCACGATTGTTTCAAATATATCTACCACAGTTAATTCAAATTTTAACTACCCAATATTGAGTATATTAAGCCAGTATAATTTTAAGACTAGAACATTTTCTGTTTCATCTAATAATGGGCATGTAATGGCTTTGGCTAGCCATAAAAGCAGGTTCAACCCACCATTTTTTCTTAAAATGTCCTGTACCAAGTCAGGAATATGGCAGTTGTTATCAAATAGTCCGTTTCTATGTATGTTGGCGTTTGTTTTTGTAGCAGTTCAGTGTTTCTGTTGTTCCGTTGTTTTCCTCTTATAGTTGATGTGTTTCCCTCGGTTTTGGTTTGTGACCCGGATTTGTTTCAGTTAAATCGATTTATGAATATTGAACAGCGTAATACTAATATTGCCTTTATTTATACAAACTGAGTATTTCATTTCAACTTGTGTGACAATTGAAAAAATTTTTTTTTTAACCTTAGTGAATAGAACACTACATAAATCATTATCTCTTTATGTGTATTGATCTTATGATCTTTGGCTTTCAAATGTTTGGGTTTGAACGTTCCTGATGAAGATAAATCTAGAAAAGAGCTTCGGACACACGAAATTAACCAAGTGTTATTTTCATTTCATTTGACTATCGTGATTATATAGAACATGAATTGTCTCTGTGAAATGGCCAGCTGAAAAGAGCACGTCTTATACCAAATGATAAGGAGATAAAATGTCGAGAGACACAAATTTTATACCACTGGTCTGTCTGCACAACACAAAATGAAACTAACTTTGTGTTTAGGATTAATTGCATGCATAATTGGTGAGTGCTAAAACATACACTTGCGTTGAATGAATTAGTACAAAGAAAGTAAAATACAAAATAACATTATTCTCATAATATTTGTTTCAAAGTTAGAATTACGTTTTTGTGTCAATAATGATATCTGAACTGTGTCTAATATTTTCTGATAACTTTTGCTCCGAGTAGAAGTTAGTCCAAAGAAAACAGATCAAATGCAATGGCCTCAATGTGTACCATAAGATTATCATCTCCTAAATTTACCTCCCATTCCCTTTCAAATAATACAGGAGCAATCAAATATTGAGCTTTGAGCAAATATATTGTGTTGATGCAACGTTTTCTTTAGATGACATAAGTATGTATAAATGAAAACTAAAAAAAATTGTGCCTTGGGTAGCTGGGTCGTATTTAAGTATTTTTTGTGTGTGGTTAGGGGGGTAATCTATTGTATTCAAGCAAATGAACCGTATATGATTATGACTTCGAGTTTACATTTCATCAATGGTTTATAGTTCTTCCAGATATTTGCTTTTTTATATGGACATAAACTTTGATGCATTTTATTGGAATTTTAAGTATTAAATTTTTGTTTTCCTTCGGTGTTTAAAGGGGATTAGCTAAGAATAAGAAAAAAATAAAATAGAAATTTTTGTGTTTCAAACATTTATAAAAGTTGAATATACAAATGATATAAAAATAATATTTAGCTATTAGCAGTCAGTTTGGTCCTATTTCGTCAAAAATAATCGCTGATGTATTATTGACTTGCAAGTAAATAATTCGACCTCATTTAAATCTGTATCTATGCAACCTTTTAAATTAGTTTGGCCTTTAGTGGATATGTGTTCGGCTTGTGGTTCTTTCATTAAAAAGAAAAGAAAAGTGAAACAAATGGAGACACCATGAATAACCATGTTTTTGACTAATCCGGCCCGAAAAATATTATTTGTATATAGGTTAAACGATGATATACATACATTTTTAGTCTATAACATGATTTTTGGTTATATGACCGTCGACAGTCTTCGGAGGTCATCTCGATGAATAATTAGATGGTGTCTAGTCTAAAATACACATGAAAAGCTGATACATTATTAGGAGTTAGTACATTGTTAATTATGTCTTTTGGACTTTTTGTAATTTGAATATACGTTTTAGTATTTTATAAATCATATATGAGAATTTGGGTCAAACATGAACTTGACAGTAAATACCCCTTTAACGATGATTCAACTCTGTCCTTTACGTAAATACCTTTGGACTTGCCTCTGCTTTTAAAGTATCTTCCACCTTCACCACTCCATGGAGATTTATTCCGGTACCACTACTTCATGGATTGTTAATCCGCTACCACTACTTCATGAAGTGTTATTCCGGTACCACTTCTTCATGGAGTGTCATTCCGTTACCACTACTTCATGGAGTGTTATTCAGCCACGACTACTTCGTGGAGTGTTATCCCGATACCATTATTTCATGGGGTGTTATTCCGCCACCACTACTTCATGGAGTGTTATTCCGCCACCACTTCATGCAGTGTTATTCCGCCACCACTACTTCATGGCGTGTTAATCCGCTACCACTACTGCATGGAGTGTTAATCTGCTACCACTACTTCATGGAGTTAGTGTTATTCCGCCTCCACTACTAAATATTGTGGAGAGTAAAAAGTATCGTGTTGGTTATAGCTACATAAACCTCTTTAATTGTACAACACTTTTAATACAATAATTATGGCAAGCCGTTCTCGTCAAAACTATGTTTAAACCCTTTTTTCGAAAAAATTACACACTGAGAATTAAAAAAACCACACTGAGATTTAAAAACCTAAAATAACACACTGAGAAATCGAAATTACACACTGAGATTTAAAAAAAATGAAAAACACACACTGAGAATTTAGAATTACACACTGAGATTTTTAAAAAGACACACCGAGATGAAATAAATTGAAAAACACACACTGAGAATTGTTAATTACACACTGAGATTTCAAACATACACACTGAGATTAATATGCACATTACAAATGAATATTCATGAGATGAATAATTCAACAGATAAATATCTTGGTCTCCCGAACTCTCGTCATTATAATGAAATGCGGTTCCTTCAACCAGCATTTGTAATAAATTTCATGAATTAACATCGTTTTTTGCCAACTCATATTCATAAGTTTGTTGCCTATAATTCAGATCATTACTAACAGTGTATTAGGATTTTTTGCTTAAAACTGTTTAAGCATGGGCCCCTTTTCAAAAGTCTTTCAACTGTTACCCTGATTTCTCAAGGTAATCTTTTATATTTTTGTTACGTGTATATGCTATAATAGGCACTTGGGTAAACATTTCACTGCATATTGTTTGTCATTTTGCAGATTGTTCTAATGTTTTCTTATAATTTTAATAAAGTTTTTCACCATTTGGTTATATTTTGTAATGAGAGTAAGTGGGTATTTTGCTTGTTCTTGGTCTTTAATTAATAACGTAGTTTTTCTATACGTTGTATTTCCAATGTTTTTATAAAACATTTGGCGCCAAATTGAAGGACTAATGAGTTCTGTCCCCTAGTTGATTAAAGCTTGTAATAGATCCAGATTAAGTATGCTAATTAGATAAGTGCGCATAAAAAGTGAACACAAACCTCAGTGTGTAATTTTAAATTCTCAGTGTGAAATTACAAATTCTCAGAGTGTTTTTCTTCAGTTTATTTCATCTCAGTGTGTCTTTTTGAAATCTCCGTGTGTAATTTTCAATTCTCGGTGTGTAATTTTCAATTCTCATTGTGTGTTTTTTCATTTTTAGTAATCTCAGTGCGTCTTTATAAAATCTCAGTGTGTGCTTTTAGGTTTTTTAAGTCAGTGTGTTTTTTTTTTAATTCTCAGTGTGTAAATTATTCGAAAAATGGTTTAAACATAGTTTTGACGAGAACGGCTTGCCATAAATAATGTTTTATTCAAAAAAACTCCGTCACATACCCATGTGAAACAAGAGGTAAACATATACAAAATACAGAAACATCAGATCATAGAAAGAAATAAAACAACTGTAAAATGGAATATATTAATAACTACTATACTTTATAATACTTTAACTAACTTTGAAACGAATAACGATACATTTTTCGCTAGTACCTTATATTACAAAATGAAAGTAATCCTTTCATTTTAGCTGCGAAGGGATATTTTACATAGCACTCTGGAATGTGTTGATTACTGATATTTTGATGGTCCAATAAAATTTGAAGCTGTCTTTTTCAAACTTTATAATCTTGTGATTAATATTGTTTTAGGATGCATTACATGCTGTAATGTGGCAAGTGAATGTACTGTTACATGTTCTGCTGGACAACACGTGGCTTGCATCAATCATAAATGTGAATGTCATGGAGATCACGGTAAGATTATTGTATTTGTTTTTTAATTCCTGATCTAAAAGATTGGACCAAGTCGAGAATTTCCTGTCATTGGGCGATTTAATACTGTCAAATATTGTACTTTTAAGTTAGTCATCTTCGAAGTTTTGAAGTATATTAATATATTAAAGTCAGATGAAACGAGTGTCTTGAAATTATAAAGGTAAGAAAATTATTGAACCAATGCATGTTTATGTTTTTTACATTTATTAAGAATCCATAACATATCATCGACAAAAAATATTTGATTCCGTGAAAATTTTACCTGCTAATTAACTTTTGTGTTTTATTGCCGATCTTTACTGAACATCAGCATTCTGAATCCTTAATAAACAATCAACACAGAATCATGGAGCATGCGAAAAATAAGTGAGATCAGACATGCAATAGATCGATGCATAATTTTTGTTTGTATTTTCCAAGCTTTTCTTTTTGTTAATCAAACTGTGTCATAACTGCAGAAATAAACCTCCATACAGTATATAAAACATATTCCACTTTTTTTTTAAATTTGAAATATCAAATGACTTTAAATCTTTAATTTTGCTCGTGATGTGACTTATGAATACTTTATAAATAATCGTTGAACTTTCATGTTTTTCCAACTCATTTAAAAAATAATAATAATAATTTTGAGTGTAAACTTATATTGAACTTTTATTCTGATTTCCGTGATTTACTCTGGACATTTGTTCTGGATAAATGTCATTTAAAAATCCTAATTAAATGTTTGTTAGTGTTGTATTATTCGAAAATATTGTTTACATATAATTGTTATCAAAACAATCCTAAAAGTATGAATATTATAATAGATATTAGAACACTCATCGTATCACAGTCCAACGAGGTTCTAAAAAATATTCTATCTTCTACAAACAATATTGTATTTGCCCGAGGATAAAATGAAATGAAAAACGTCAGTTTTATTTTTAATTTACCATTCTCATTCCTCCGATGTATTACACTAACATATAATGGCAGAGCTTTTTATTACACTTGCACGCATTCATTCTACGGGTAAATAGTTACAGGAGAAGATAAGGCGTCTGCACAATACTAGGCGGTGTTGTCGTAGAAGTGAGAAGTGAAAAGTACAGGTTCCAGCCCCGCTCGCGGAGGAAGTAAAGAATCAGATCTACTCTAACATTGCTAGGTTGATTTTCTAGGCACTTTATATATATATATATATATAGATACTTCGTCTCAAATTTAGCCCAACAATGTTAGATCGGCAAATTTGCTAACGCAAATGTTTGTTCTTCCCTCAGCGGGATTCGAACCCTTGCATCTTACGAGGGCGCTGAATCGTTATGAAAAACAAATCGATACTGTACACAATAGAAAAATAATATATACGCCTTAAAAAGTGTACAAAACAACACCAATGTTAAAAAGAGGAATCAGTAAATACTAGTACCAATAAATATTTCGGATAAAAGGTATCCTTCATCGGTATAATGTAAAATGAATCATATCAATTTATTTATTGATATTACTAAAAACAATCTTGAAAGTAAATACAAATTAAAAACCGAACCAAGCTTGTATAATTCTAAAATTTCAAAGTAGGTAAAGTATATACAACAGAGACTGCATAGATATATGCATCCCAAAAGAATAGTAATGTGCGACTGTTGCAACTCTAAAATTTCATAGGGGACGAAAGTTATGTTATTACAACAGAGTCTGCGTAGACATACATCATCAATGCATAACACTGTTCGATTTGAACTGGTATAATTATTAAATTTCAAATTTAGATAATGAAAAATAAAAAATTCGGAGTCGAAATTTTACAAAAACCTACACAATGTGAAAACGTGCTAAAATGGTAGTATAATGCTTACTCGATCCTTAGGCGAATTTTAAGCAAACTATAAAATGTAATTTGTTTAATTTACAGAACTAGACTGTACTGATAAATCACAATGTGGAAATCTGAACTGTGATAAATATCATTCAGCCCACTGTGTCGACGCACATTGCACATGTCAATTTGATTGGCATCATGGTCATGATTAAATGGTAAGTTATAAGTGGATTGTTTGTAGTAAAAAAATAGAAATCAAGTACCTGTGCACCTGATGACAAAACAAATGTGGAGATGACATATAGTCGACAATGCGACAAAGTCAACTACCCTTTTTAAGGACAAATATGTGAACAAATACAGGTACCATGTAAACATGCGGCCTTCAAAAGATCGCAAATCCATACCGTATCTGTAATTTATAAAAGGACCGGGATGACAAAAAAAGCCTAAAATTACAGCCTTTTTAACACATTAAACCCACAAAAGAACAGCAAATCAACATGTCAGTATTGTAGTCATAATGAACTCTAAAGAATTTAGGCATCAGATGTTTGTAATCAATAGCGGATAGAATGTTGATATTCAGTTTAAAGACATACACTAAATATATTCCTTTGGTGAAGATTACTTTGATAGAGCTTAACTTCCAACGGTGAATATTTTATTCATATTAAGAACGACGTAGGTCAAGGAAAACAGATAAATTTGGATAAACATGCAAAGTTTGGCTGAATAAGATTTCTTGATGGTCGAAAACTGAGCTGTATATTAGAATTTTGTTTATTTTCGAAGCAAAATAAATGAACTTGATACACAATTTATAATAAAACGATATGTAAACAAATCAATAATAGGCTTAAAAGATGATGCCGATGATGATGATGATGATGATGGATGACTGCCTAACGTCCAGCGGAAAATTAAATGCATGTTCAGGACGAGAACATGATTATGTAATAAGAATATTAATAGATATAGGAAGATGTGGTATGAGTGCCAAGGAGACAACTCTCCATCCAAGTTACAATTTATAAAAGTAAACCATTATAACCCTGCTTTGTACTATTTCAACACGCTGAGCGGGTTTTTAAACGTGCTAGTTTACAAGGTAACAGTCCGCAGTAAGACATGGCTCCCTACCTGGACACATTATGCCGAATCCGAGCTTAAAACGTCTTTGCTCTTACTCCTTAATGTCGTGTGCTTAACGGAGAAGCAGCAAATACAAATTTTAAAGTCTTTGGGTTGACCCGGCCAGGCTTCGAACCACCGACCTTCCACACTCGAGGCGAACACGCTACCACGAAACCACCGAGGAGGTTATAAGGCTTTCAAAACCTTATTTATTAACTTTTGCATGTATTGGGTCGATTTGGTTGACCAATGAACCTTACCCTTTTGTATCGAAGGACAACTATTACTAAATTGATTTTATTTGTTTTTGAAAAGGAATGCAGAGTTTCCAACATAATTTTGGTTTAGGGCTTAACGTCATTCTGGTTCTTTTTTATATTTAACAAAATCACGTCGACCAAGTGTCGTATCTTTTACATTTGGTATTCTGTCATTGAATATGCAAAGTTGAGTCTATTTCAAATGGAATAAAGAAATTGAATTTGACGAAAACCAGTCTACTTACCTTCACATTGATGACTATTACATTCTCTTTTCTTCTTTTTCAGAATTAACCAGATGACGCAACTTGTTGTTTGAAAACATAAATATAAAATATTTTAAGAAATTATTGTCTCTGTCTTTTGTTAAACAATGTTAAAAGCAGAGTGAGTATTCAACAAGTCAATATTTATGTCGTCAAATTGATAACCTGTTGCCTCGTGTTTAATGTGAAAATAACACTTGATAATTTAGGTACGTCCAAAGCGCTTTTCTGGAATTAGTTTCATCAGGAATGCTGAAACCCAAAAAATTTAAAAGCCACTGATGTATAAATACCTGAATACATGCGGAGCTATATAAAAATAAGAAGATGTGGTATGATTGTCAACGAGACAACTATCCACCAAAGTTCAAATAAAGTGGAAGTAAGCAATTATAGGCAACCGTACGGCCTTCAACTATGAGAAATACCCATACCGTATAGTCGCAGCTATAAAAGGCCCTAACATGAAAAATATGAAACAATTCAATTGAGAATTTATAACAAAACAATTTACGAAAAACAATATAACAGACGTCACCCACGGATAACCACTGAACTACAGGCTACTGACTTGGGACAGGCACATAAAGAATGTGGCCGGGTTAAACATATTTTTGAGCGCTCAAACTTACAACTAATCTGGGACAGTGGTGTAACAGCACAACATAAGAACAAACCATAAAAATCAGTTTAAAAAGGCTTAACTCATTAGATCGATACAAAGAAAAACATCAAACATAAACACAGACAGGACACGGCAGGGTATATATCCATCCCTCATCCCTAACAACAAAAAAGACACTAAATACAGATCTGAGAGTACTCGCAGTTACTGACAGCTAGTTCAAAGCCAATAACAACTAATAAAAAATCATGTATCTAAGACTTAAATATCAACAGTATACATCAAACATCCAATGGATTTAGTGTAAAAACGTCATTAACAGCCAAAGAAAAACATGACATTGTGCAATGCCAACATATAGGTAAAGACAGATTGTAGTAACGTGAAAGTACATATGTGTAATATTTAGTATGGTTTTAATTTACTGATAACAAAATCAATATTTATACCAAAAAAAAAATATTCAAAGATTTAATTACAGTGTTGAATAGGAAACCTTTCAGAAAAAAGTTTAATTCAAGGATTTATAAGTTTACCCAGATCGTATCTAAATTTCCGGGCTCGGTTAACAACAGCACCGTAAAATTTAGGATGTGCTATTCCGTTTGAAGTAAGTTTTCTACAGGTACAGCCAAACTTGCAAACCAAATCTGTGTATCTATGGGAGAATTTAGTAAAGGTTTTTAGTAATTTGTGGTAACGAAATCCCTGACTTAATGATTTACCAGTAATACATAGACTACGCTCATTGAAATCCAAAACGTCACTACAGACACGGGCATAACGAACGATGGTGCAAGAGGAACATCACCGTCCAAAAAAGGACATAAACATAGGGAAAGAAAAATCATCCATTTTGTAAATGTTTGTGTATAGTTTCTGGTGTAAAACAGAAATGTCTAAATCTAGGAAAGGACACTTATTGCTGTTAATATTTGATTTATTTAAGGTAATTTAAATTTCTGTGGGTAAATTTCGGCAGTATTTTTACAGAATTCTTCATTATTTAACGAAAAAATATCATCAAGATAACGGTAAGTGTTGTTGAATTTATCAATCAAATAGAAATAAGACGGGTATTTACTGAGTTTGGCCATAAACTGTGATTCATAACAGTACAGGAACAAGTCTGCTATTAAAGGGGCACAATTGGTACCCATAGGAATACCTACAATCTGTATATAAACTTTATTGCCGAAACGTACATAAATGTTGTCAAGGAGAACATTTATGGCTGTAATAATACGAGTACACTCATATTTTGTACTAAAAACAAAACTGTATCACACTCGTTATAAATATTATGCAATTTACTAATTGGTATTTGACCCAGTTTGCATAATAATTGATGTCTACCATTGTTTTTTAAATATAGATAAGCCACGAGACCTATGATTGCGTTGTCTTTTATCAACAATTGTCATGATATCAATAGAGGAAGTTTTAAATATGTTCCCTTGGTCCATGACATTGTCATTTAGACCTAGTAATCCAAGAAAGTTCGCAAAGTTTACGGGAATCTTCAAACTGTTTATGTGATTGTCCTGGTTGTTTCTGGACGGTTTGAAGTGGTTGGAATTTTATAAAACTAATGTTGTGTTTGTGTTTTTCTAAATGTTGGTAAATTAAACTTTTGAATTTTTTAGGTCTGCGGAAGCGGTATAGATGTTCTTGTGTTCGTTTAAAAAAAATCACGTCCAGTTTGCCCTACATATTGAATACAACATTTCGGTTTTGTTCATGTTACAAGATATATGAGGCTTTGGGTTTTTCAAGTAATGTCATATGAAAAGGAAAGAGAACAAGTTCTTCCGTTCACTGATGACCGAACAGTATTATCTGAAGATAATCTGGAGCAGGTTTGTCATTTTCTGCTATTGCACGTGTATATTTGTGGATATCACGTGCGGTTTTGTTGAACAATCTAGCTGCAGAGGCATTGCCTCCTTTAACACAATTGTGAAATGTGCTAAATTTTAACGGTGAATTTCGAAAAGCGGCAGTGGAATTTATATTATGAACGCGGTTTTTTAAGTGATGATGATAAGTAGGTAGTGCAGTCTAAGAATTCTAATAAATACCGTAGTTATTTGGCCCGGGAACACAGTTATGTTCGTTGTGTATTTCTTTTAGACAATGAATTAATAAAATCGCTCCTGCTCAATCTCAAAAAGCTTCAGACATACTAAATATTGACCTTATTAAACTAAAACAAAAACTAAAACAATCCTTTCTCAACTGATTTTTACAGTTTGTTCTTATGTTGCGCTGTTACACCCAGGCCTGTCCTAGGTCATGGATAGCATTGAGCACCCACACACACATGTTTAACACCCCCACATTCTATATGTACAGACCCAAGCAGGAACCTGTAATTCAATGGTAGTCGTCGGAGCTGTCTGTTGTATTTGTTTTTTTGTTTTTGTTTATTGTTTTGTCATAAATCCATCCGGCCGATGTTTTTTATTTGTCTAAATTGTTTTATATTATGTCTTGTCAGGGCATTTTATAGCTGACTACTAGTATACGGTATGGGTTTTGTTTATTGTTAGCCGTACTGTGATCTATAATTGCTTAAATCCACGTAATTTGGACACTGTTAGATGGTTCAATCCACATCATCAAAGGGGCCTCGGTAGCCGAGTGGTCTAAGAAGTGGTCTGTATCACCAGCCTGTCAACACCGAGGTTGTAAGTTCAAATCCCGCATGTGGCAGGTGCGCTCGATTCCAATCTTGATTGACTAGGATTGTCAGTTTTCCTACCAGGCACTCCGGCTTCCTCCGTCAATAAAAAATGACCGCCACGAAATAGCACAATAGTGCTGAAAGTGGCGTTAAACACCAATCAATCAACCAACCAATCAATCCACATCTCTTGTATATGATACATTATACAAACCTTCCACTGTTGAACACTCATGCAGTATCTTCAAAGTAGTCGACGCAATCAAATTTGATAACGATTTATTAGTTTAAAAAAGTAAAAATTAAATGAGTTAATTAAAAAAAGTATTAGTACGTGCTCACTTTATTATTAATAACAGTCGGAACTATAAATCTAGATATCAAGGTAATTACATTTTTTTTCGGCGGTCTTTTGAATTTTCGCATCTAATAAATGGCGGACGTAGTGTACGCTCTCCTTATTTTTTATTTTTTTTTGTGGATCCATCCCGAACTCTTATTATGAAATGCCCGAAATTAAAAAGAACCGGATTATACTTAAAACAAACAATTAAAAACTATATTATCAAATTGACCCTGCCTGCATTTGGTTTATTTTGCTTAGTGTTATTATAGCATATTATTCTGTTACATGGACAATTTAATATGTGTGTAAATTACGTATGCATATTTTTTTATGTTGTAATGTTACACCACTGATTCCGGTTAGGGTAAAAGTTGCCGCCTGTTAAAACGTTTAAACCCGCTATATTTTTAAGCACCTGTCCTAAGTCAGGAGCCTGTTCAGTGATTGTCGTTTGTTGGTGTGGTTCATAACCGTTTCTCCTTTCTCATTTTTTATATAGATTAGACCGTTGGTTTTCCTGTTTGAATTGTTTTACACTAGTCATTTTGGGACCCTTTATAGCTTGGTATTCGGTGTGAGCCAAGGCTCCGTTTTGAAGGCCGTACTTTGACCTATAATTGTTTACTTTTTACACATTGTGACTTGGATGGATAGTTGTCCCATTGGCACTCATTCCACATCTTCTTATTTATATCCAAAAAAATGAGACGTACAGTTTAACAGATAAAATGGTCGTACCAATGGATTTGTTTTTTCTAATTTTTTTTTTTTATGGTACAACCGAAGTAACAAGCTGATTGTCATAATTATAATTATAAGTTTTTCTGTCGAAGGTCTGTGGTTCTTTCCGGCCACTCCGGCTTCTTCTACCGGTAAAAAACTAACAGCCACAAAATAGCAAGATTCAAGATTCAAGATTCAAAGTTTTATAATCCTCAGACACAACAGTGTACAAGAGGTCAATATACAAACATACAAACATACATAAATAAACGAAATATCTATACAGTAATTATAATACAATTATGAAAAACATTACATGTACGACAACAGGTGCTAACACACTCGTGGCACTTTCAGTTGTATACATTACACTCAGTATATCTTTTATTTGGATTTAACACAATGTCGTGAATTTGTGAGTATTTACATAGATGTTAATAAATGAATAATTATAAATACTTGATTATGTTTTTGAAATATCTGCAAATATTACGATATAACTTTACATGGCAATTTGACAACATTCTAATCATCTTGATCTCTGATGGATTTGTATTGTAATAAACTGTAATAAATCTTTTGCGCAGATCCACGATTTGTGGATATGTACAAGTAAACATATAATGATATTCATTACCGATGTTATTTTTACACGAATGACATATTCTATTTTGTTCAGGGATCTTTGCCCATCTTCCTGT